TGGCGGCCATATAGGCTGACCAAAGATCCGCAAGTACGGAACTAGAACTGGTGGCCGGGCTATCAGTAGCGAAGCCCGCATGGTGTTATAGTTAAACTGCAGATGTCGTACACTTCGACGCTGCACATTTTACTGTGGCATTAAAACTCTAATGGATATACATTCGCACTTCTTTGAATGTTCCCTTATGGGGTTGTTTCTCTAAGGAAACCCAATTATGCCACGAATCCTTTTAATTTACTTTACCTAAAAAAATGTTCAGCTGCTCCATTGACGTACACCTATGAACGAGTGAAGTGATTGGTTACTGCCTCGTTACACAGGCAGTTCGATAGATTTCATACGTGTCATCACCGGAGGTGAGTGCCGTTTCGTACCAGATCGTCTGGTGGCGTGGTACTCAAAATTCGAAGAAATTCCCCACCCCCCAGAAAGTGTTTTTTCAGAGGTCATATAACAACCAACGTTATCACTCAATCTGTACTGGGGTAGTGAAATGTTATTTCCATTCAACTTTTCAGAACATCAATCAGCGTGCGGCGGAACACTCCACCGCATCTAAGTAAGTTTCTCAAAGCACTCAGTAGTTATAAATCCTGATAAGTTTGTATGCCGTCCTTCAGCTACTGGCGTCCAAAAAAATCACAATTCGTTTATTTCCTTATCATCCGGATATTCTTACTTAAAAACTCAAGAATGTGATAAATAAGTACATTTTTCATTTAGTCATCAACACTAGCAGAGCATCACCGCCATCATTGTGGACAACAACAGGAGAGCCGAACATCATAGAATAAATGTTCTACTGTTTGTGGGCTGGGAAGATGTCAGAAATTGACAGAACGCTAAAAACGGCTCAAACGCCCAAAGAAAGCATAACAATGGCCAATAATTCACTTTCAGGAAATAACGCTTCTGAGCCGATGGGCACATGATATGCCTAACCGGTGAAGAACATGGTAGAAGAAACTGTGTGGGTGCTGTTTAATCGTCTTCCTACAGGTCACTTGGAAGCACAGGCGACTGCACTAAGGATGGATATGCTCCGTCCTCACGCAACAGGTACAATAAGAGTTATACCTTTTGACTTCTATGTACATCAACTATTTGGCTTTATATGCTCGGGCTCATCACATCATAGTGTATTTCGATGAATAGTGATGTGCACCGGACATACTTGCGACCCAGCCAAAGTTGGCCGAATCTGCAGGTGCTCGAAATCATCAAATCAGCTATGGTCATTTATCGTTCAGTATGCCTGTCGCTGAGGAACCTTTTGATCTATCGAACAATTGTCGACAATAAAATGAATCCTCGTCAATCCCGATAGGGTTAAGTGTGCAATAGGAACAATTCCAGATAGCAAACTTGCAAGTTTTTCAAGGTTTTAGCCGTGAGGGGTTTGTGGCAACAGGGGTAGTCAGTTCGGTCAGCGCATCAATCACAAAATGTAAAAAGTGATATAAATGACATAGCTTGTTTAAAACCTGATCTCATGATAATTTCTGTGGGACGGAGTGGCAATACAGTGCATGGTCTGGGAGAGCACTGGGGCCTAAGCCATCTTTGCAACAAACCAGGATTTCCGGGTCAAACTGGCCAAGTAACAATCTCCAACAGATGTCACCAACCAAGCAAGGAAATCGGCTGAATCCGTTGATTGAGAAATTTAGCAAAATCACAAAATATTAGTGTCTGACTACGTAGGTGGACTGAAGCCACCAAAAAAGGTGTCTATTCACGAAATGTCTCCGAATATGCAGCTATTCATTGTAAAACAAAAACAAAACGCTTACGATCTATCCAACGAGGAGTGAAAAACCAATGTGCACAGAACTTTCGGGAACTTCAACACTCTCCAGCGTACTACTGAGTTTTCCTGCGCGCGATCAGAATATCTAAGATAACCGAGCAAACAATGTCAGAAGTTCAGTAATTTCTAAATCAGCCCTCCATCAGATGCAGAAACGACACTTTATCTTGCTTTGACTGGATGCTAATCGCAATTTTCGTCAGTATTGCAAACGTCCACACGGCATTAAATTCTGGCATGCATGTCAGTGATGGTGACCTCGCCTCACTCAGGCCAGCTGCGGCAACAAGTTTGTTTCGGGCTTCCTAAGGTGCACTGTTGCACTTCTGCATCTGGCGTTTACTTACCTCTGTCGGCCTTCGACTCTCTTGAAATTTAGAGGGAGTTTCTTGACGGTTAATAACGGCCAAAGGTCCTGAACAATGTTTTCCCAGCCGTCGAAATTCCAGTTCATTTTATCCGGGGTTCAGAGGATCATCCTAGTTGATCTTCACGCTCATGAGATTATTAAGTCCTTCATACCTGCCGTCTTTTTCTTAGATACTTATCGGAAAGCCACCAAGTTCTCTCATGTTTCCTCCTTTCCTATCCCAGGTATTCAGAAGCAGTAGTTGGTCGAATTCCGACTTCTCGACCATCTAGGAAACACGGATTTCGACCCTGCCTCAATACAAATGGAGAATGGTGGACTGGGTTGAGACATGGTATGCTAAAGAAACCATCGACAGTTTCACTTCCAATCAACTTCTTTGGTCCCAAATGGTGTGGTCCTTAGACTCTGTTAAATTATTTGTCTTCATTTAGTAGATACTGTCCTTAGCAGCTTCAAGGAACTCCTGATTTCTGTACTCACACATCGTGCTTCTCATAATATTCTATACCCAGTGATTAGCCACAACTACTCCGTTGATCGTGGCCACTTTCATTTGGCGCTCCTGCTGCCTCGACCCACAGGGGAAGGAGTTCTGTCATTACGTTTACCTAATGATTACCACTAAATGTCGCCGGAAATGAATGCATAATGGCAGTGGACCTTAACCGCCTGATTTCCCACACAGGATTAGGTTCAATGGTGATGGTCTTCTCCCGCTGTACTGCGGTCAGTGCCTCTAACAGTCGCAACATTCTTCGTTATGTCATTTCCCATCCCTGCTCAACAGGTCATCTGTCGAAGCGGCTTGCGTGATTTGGTACGCGCTGTATGTGCCATCTCCCGGCATTTAGCAGTCAGCCTTCTCGAGTCACGAGGCATCGGAGTCATTACAACATCCAAACATTCGGACATCCAGTATAGTATGCTAGTTCCATGCTGACTCAATATATGGAAGAAATTCTGAAATATCTCCAATTTTTGTCTTCATCCCGTCCAACGGGATGGTTGTTGATTAGATATGCATTAACTAGCCACTGAGCTCGACATGGCCCGCTGGTCAGGTCTCTAACGTACTGCGTGGAAAGTTGGTTGTCCCAACCCTAGCTCCACATCTCAACTGCACCTATCTAGGCTTGGCCAAACTTGCATTTGCTCAGCCCCCGTGCTTCCCTCTGTTGACATGGAAACTAAGAATAAGGTTGTTACAAGTAAACGACTTCTGTTATTAGTATTTACAAGTTACTTTCTAAGTGATACCAACCTGCTTTTGTTGATAACGCGGCTCGCATAATGCTTCACTTTCTTTCTATCCAGTGGACATATTTACTCCTATATTAGTTGACTACAATTTGCTCTTTCCGTCTACTTCACTTACCGCCTGTATGATCACACCAATTGCAACCCATCCTGGAATAAACAAGTGAATAAACTGGTTATTATCGACAGATGGTACTTTTCGGGAACGAAGACCAGCCATGTCACACTTGCAGTATATGCTCCTTCCAATGCGCCTCCGCCTTCCTGTCCTCAGGGCAGCAAATTCTTCGTTCTATTGATCTACTTTCGTCGCAGGACCTACAATATCAACGCGTTCTGCCCTTCCTGCGACTCTAGTGTGCCCAGTGGCGACGGATCATGTTAACTCTGTCGGCCGCTCTCTTCAACTGCAATCAAGCGTCGAGTGCCGGCCGGGGGCAGATAAGGCGACCCATTCAATCCAGGTAAAGCATCGTCCAACCGTTGTTGCACATAAAGAAGGCCCCACTGAGCTCGACATGGCCCGCTGGTCAGGTCTCTAACGTACTGCGTGGAAAGTTGGTTGTCCCAACCCTAGCTCCACATCTCAACTGCACCTATCTAGGCTTGGCCAAACTTGCATTTGCTCAGCCCCCGTGCTTCCCTCTGTTGACATGGAAACTAAGAATAAGGTTGTTACAAGTAAACGACTTCTGTTATTAGTATTTACAAGTTACTTTCTAAGTGATACCAACCTGCTTTTGTTGATAACGCGGCTCGCATAATGCTTCACTTTCTTTCTATCCTCCTATATTAGTTGACTACAATTTGCTCTTTCCGTCTACTTCACTTACCGCCTGTATGATCACACCAATTGCAACCCATCCTGGAATAAACAAGTGAATAAACTGGTTATTATCGACAGATGGTACTTTTCGGGAACGAAGACCAGCCATGTCACACTTGCAGTATATGCTCCTTCCAATGCGCCTCCGCCTTCCTGTCCTCAGGGCAGCAAATTCTTCGTTCTATTGATCTACTTTCGTCGCAGGACCTACAATATCAACGCGTTCTGCCCTTCCTGCGACTCTAGTGTGCCCAGTGGCGACGGATCATGTTAACTCTGTCGGCCGCTCTCTTCAACTGCAATCAAGCGTCGAGTGCCGGCCGGGGGCAGATAAGGCGACCCATTCAATCCAGGTAAAGCATCGTCCAACCGTTGTTGCACATTCGCAAAGAAGGCCAAACGTCACCACCCGCTCTCAATCTGACCACCTTGAACAGCCTCGTAGCCTCCTGTCGGTAAGCTGGGACGTGGAACTTCGCTGCTCCAACCGTTGTTGCACATTCGCAAAGAAGACCAAACGTCACCACCAGCTCTCAATCTGGCCACCTTGAACAGCCTCGTAGCCTCTAGTCGGTAAGCTGGGACGTGGAAATTCGCTGCATTAGCCTCCGTGGCCGCGGCCAAATTAATCATCTCCGGGACCAGTATAGCCGTGCCTAGGGCCGCCTTCGCCTGGCCAACTTTCCCCGGTTGGTCACATCCTCAAAGCCAGTGTGAAAGCTCGCATGTGCTCAAAGGGCTGCGTCCTTGGAATCTTCTTCTGCAAAGTCACCAGCTAAAAGGAAAATACCTTTGAATACGAGGCTGTTTAGTACAAAACAGGTAACAAGCTACCGAGCTCGAAAACGGAAATCTCTTTTGTACAGCCTTTCCAGAGATTCGACATGTGTACCTTTTGAGTCTTTCTTGGATGCCGTCTGAATACTTAATAGAGACGAGAAAACACTGGCAAGCTGTTCAGTAACTTTTCAAATCAGCTCACCACCAAATGCAAGGTACTTTAAACTAATTTAACCATATATTACTCTCATGTTTCTTCAGTAGTATACGCCGTTGCTGTTATAGCGAGCAAACTTTTACAAAACAATTTAAGATGCTTCTCTCTAGGGCACACCTGGCAACAGAACAAGGTGCAATAAATCATGCGGTCTGTGAGATAAACCAGGTTTGACTAAAAGATGAAGGTCGAGGCGGATGTAATGGTGTGACAAACGACACAACAAATGAGCCCACGGGTGGCAGAATACTTGAGTACATAGGTGAGGAATGGATTTACTGTGTCAGCCATCTCAGAGTATTTTGTAATCAAAGTACAGACTCGGGAATTACACCTGCGCTAAAACAAATGAACGTATATAAAAGCAGTAATATGGATGGGTATTGTTTGAGTGAAACCTATTCCAAAAGACACTGTGGATGCTATGGTTGAGAGATATTAACAGTGTTTTTTGCCCTCGAACGAAAACATTCACAGCCAGCAGAATATTGTCGAGGCCTAACAACTCCAGGAGAAGGCGACGTTTTGCTGTAGTTTCGGTTGCCTGGAGTCACGTCTTAATTTTATCAGCGTACTCCATTCTAGCAAAGTTCATTGAAATTAAACCTGTGAGATTTTAAAGTAATACCGTCTAATAAAATTAATTTCAGCAGCCTCATGAGCAGTTCACTAAGTACGTACATGTATCGCGATATCTCGAGTATCGTACCAAGTAAAACATAAAGCGACCTGGTGCAGCACATTCAGTTAACTGGAAACATCACAAACGAGAGATTCAGTTAGGGTCTAGGTGAGCCTTCACAAAACTGAACTTGTTTGCAAATAAGTGTAGATCGATAAAATTACCCATTCTTTTCACCACTTACATGTTGGTTTGGTGCGCTGGGTAGCCACCCACGGAGGCACTTATATGTAATCCAGGATTTCGCCACAGTTTTCCGTTGTTTAATCCGTCTGCAACATACGACATTCGTGCTGCAGAATCCTCAGTGTGTTATCCAAATCATGTGTAAAAAGAGGAACGCGATGAGAAGAACAATTTGCTGTGCTTCGAGAAATATACCCCCTTTTTAGCCTCCAGCAGAAATGAACTGGGCATGACGAATTCGCAAGTCTTCGGGAAAGATAAATCAGTAAAAGTCGATTAACATTCTGTAGGTATATCATCCTGCGTCTTTCTGTCTACCGTTCTTCACATAGGGAAAATATTCACTGGTTTTGTTTACTCAGTCGCTATTTTGAATTGCTTAAATTTGTAGAGGTTCCGAATGTCAGAAGTCGCAGTTCAAAACGTGTAATGTCAATATTCGAAAAGTTCCACACAGATTGTTTTAGAAGCTAACTTTAACTGTTTCTTCAGTATGAATAGTGTTGTTGGCAAAATATTAGGTCTGTTGATTGGATTCCCAACATGCTGAGCTTGATCAGATGGGACAAGTATGGGAAACAAACTAGTGGACCAAACCGAATCAGTGCTGACAAAATATTCAAATGGAAGCATCAAAATGCACTTCAGTAATTTCATTTCGACATGCGCGATCAGCTAATATTTAAAACACTAGTGATTGTGCAGAACAGTGATACATCCTCATCGAAACAGAATGGAGTTATACGATATCACTGAGTGCGAAAAACAACAGCAAAGCTTTATATTAAGGATTTCTAAATAAATGACAGCAGCAATATAGTGCCCAGACCGTAGCTGCTTGTGCGAGCTGTGAACAAATACGGGTACACAAGACTATAAATATAACTTAGTCCATGAACTTTGGTGTACAAACTTTACGAACTAAGCAATTTAAAAAGGGCGATTTTATGAGTATTACTACTGTTAAAGAGCGAAAAAATGCCTGTTAGCCACTAACTACATGTATGAGGCCACTCCCAGAGGAAACGAAGCATCCATTTGACATTGCTTTCTCTATTAGGGATAGCTACTTCGCGTTCCTCGCGAGTTCATTTTGTATGTTTTACTTTTTTTTCCACGTTTTTCACTTTTTGAAAACAAATTTCCAGGTATATAGGGATCAGATTTGTTACCAGCACTACAGAACAAGAGGCTGCAAATCCTAGTCTTTCAACTGAGTCGGCCTAGTTCAACAAGGCATTCATTCAGGACCTAAACAGTACCGTATTGCAGTGGATACTGAGCTGCTGAGCTGTTTATTGCTAAAGCAGCGGCTCTTTTACCCTATTTGGTCTATGAATTAGGCCCGATTGTAAGGGCTAACTGAGAAATTCCGTCGGTGCAACTTGTGCTAAATTGGCGTCACGATTCAATTAAAGCCTCGGTATCATGCGCAGTTCACCTTCGCTGTACCTTCGCTCCCCATTTTCTGCGGTGATGGTCGAGCCATTTTAGATCGAGCTTGGAAAATACCCCATATATAACTTTTGGATTTCGCTCCCTCAGAATAATAATTAAGGACCTTAATAGTAATCTCAGAATGATAACAGAATGGATTTTGATGGTTCATGTTTTTGACAATTTGCTTGCACATCACCTCATCAGTAAAACTCATCTTGCCTTCATTTGTGATGAGTTTGTAGCTAGATTTGCTTCCTTGACATTGCTGAGTTCGTATCCATTTTACATTAATTATGCATATCTTCAACCGGGTGTAACGGTGGATACTACAGATGAGGCATGCGAGTGGTGTGTTTTCTCGTAAATCCACTTCGCGCCTCTTGAAATTGAGATCTATTACTAAATTTGTGGAGTCGCTTTGTAGCACTTGCTTGCATTTGAGTAACAACAAATGAATATCCAGGAAAGTTTAGGAAGACCCGTTCAAGAAGAAGATGGATATTCAGTTTTGTAAACAGGATTCATATGAGATTTTTGCTTCCCTGTCTAATAGTCTGTAATTGTTCAGTTGGTTTTCTCCAATAAGTAACTTCGCTGCGAGGGCCTTGCTTCTTAACTAGTACTTTGTGCCATAAACCTATCTACGTAGTTTTCTATGTAGAAGATTGCAGTGCAGTGGGTTCTGGTGGCACTGACGTTAGCAGTAGCGTATCAGAGTACTAACCTTTATCTTAAAAGTGCCGAACGTGGGTCATGCTAAGCTGCCAAGGCAATCAGAATACCATCTTGGGTAACGGTTTACTAGTTTGTTACTGTAGACTTTTTGGTAGATTTCAAATACAACAAAATAATTTGTCTGTGTTTATGGTCACTCCGTAAACTTTCCGAATTTCACCCAACATGAGTTGTCTTTCTTGTTAGAGCCAAGAGTATCCATAAGGCTGACAGTATATTCTGTGACCAAGTGTTCACATATGAAAGGGGAAATTTTCTTGATTCTGTGGTTTTTAATAGTGGGATAGTCTACCACTTCTCCTGTGGCTATATTGCGTCTTTTCGATTTTGGTACAGTCTGTCCACCGGCCGACACAAGTCATTGGCAAATGTTTTACTGTACATCGCATTGCTTTGCTTTCGTGTTTTAAGCTTTGACATTCGCATGCATCCCCTGCAGCGTACGGTTTGGGTTCTATTTTCGGTAGGTGACCTGTTGAGAATTCAGCAACACATTGAGTAGTGCTAATTAGAGTCCACAATGTGACCTCATGGCACCTTATGGCACTTCGTAACTCTATTACCCTGAGGTTAAGATACTTTAGCGAGTTTTGGCTTACTCAACGATTGATGAAAATGAACTGGTTACAGTTCACCCTAAAGTTCTCAAGAACTGTTGTTCGGATCATTTTTCGTCATAAAAAAGTTAACTGGTATCTAGGATGCACTCGTCTTTCATCTTAATCCCTACCTGTTTGGTTCCAGAGGCCCTTCAGCGCATATGTTGTTAACCCGGTATGTTCCTCCATGTTGTATAACAAGCCCTCTGTACCTTGAGGTCATCACTTTCGCAGTCAGGCCTGTGAGCCTAGCCTTGACACTTCTCTGTCGCACTTGGATTAGAGGAGGTAGTGAGCAACTGCGACGAAAAGCGGGAGCAAAGTCTAAAATTGAAACTGACTTCTGCAAACTCGCATCGTCAAGCTGCTCACGTCTGGTGGACGGAGATTTGTTAAGGGCATGCTACAGAATGAACGTCAAGAAGGA